TGCCATATTTGGACTTCACTGAGTGCTGAAGGAGCTGGGGTACCAGAGGACCCAGCAGTGTGTGTTAGAATGGATTGAGAAAGCACGTTAGAACAAGGAGAGCAGCTGAAGATCACTAGGAAGAGACAGGATAAGGGAATGAGATCAACATTATGAGGAAAGGCTGTGAGGATCAGAGGCCTGATTCCCCAGGCCAGGCTTGGCAGCAAAACGAAATGTGACCAACCCAATGGTTTTGTGACACCTACAGATATTTCAAGGGAATTTATTGAAATCTAAGAGAGAAGACATAAAATTGCTTTTGTTCCTATGTTCATTACAGAAAATTTAGAAAACACAGAAAAGCACCAGAAAGTAAATAAAAATGATCTGTAATCCACCAGATAGTTTTTTCTTATTAATGTTTGGTTATTTTTTAAAATTGGCAGCACATAATATAAAACTTTTATTTTTGCTCTTTTCACTTTATGTCATGAAGAATTAACCCCTCAATTAAAATGTAGAAGCTGGAAGAGAAAGTCAGATTCTCTCCTACAGCATTCAGAGGGAGCAATACCAACACCTTGACTCCAGATTTCTAGCCTCCAAAACTGAGAATAGATTTGTTGTTTTAAGCCTCCAAAAAAAATTTACACGCACGCACACACGTACATTCTTTAAAAATGCGGCTTTTAATGGCTACCTAATATTGTCATTGAGGAATTACACCATGATTTACTTAGCAATTTCGCTGTTAGGCACAGAGTCTCTGTGAATTTTCCCTATCATAAATAACTCTGAGCATCATCCCTTTAAATAAATCTTTGTGCACGCTTATTAATTTCCTTAGGGTAAATTTCTAAAAATAAAAGCGCGGAATCAAAGGGCTTGAAATTTTCACATACAGTGCCAAGTCCTTCCGAAAGCCGCCGTGATTCACATGCCCATCGCAGTGCACAAGAATTCCCACTTAACTGCCCCATCACAAACGTCAAAGGCTTCGGTCCTCAAATAAGAGCATCCAATCTATCTATCCAACAAACAAAGGCCGTTAGAAACAGATGACAAGTGAGCATAAGGGTTTATCAGGGAAATTTTAAAACCACTACTGGAAAAATAACTCAGAAATGCATATGCCCTATCGGCAGTGGTCTTGCCACATCATTTTACCATGAAGTCACCACGTTTTCATCCAAAACACTGTCACCAAATCCTATTTATGATTGAAATATAAGTTTATTGCATTTGATTTGATCTGGAGTAACAGACTCCAAACTTGGTTAAACTGTACAAACCCATTTTGTATTTTCCCCAGGTCATAATGTAGATTAATCTTATTGCTCAATGAAAACCCGCTGTTGCCACATCAAACTACCACGGTACCCCTTCTTCTCTGTGACAATTACATAAGAAACAACTTCTTCACGACCCCAATATTTGGGCAAAATTACTAAGTACTTTAAAAGGCGGAATGCGAGGTAAAAGATTTGTATTAACTTCTGAAGACCTGACTGTGTGATTTCTGCCCAACACCTGACAGACATCTTTTTGATCAATAGTCCAACGAGGCCAGGTTTTTCTGTTTTAGTTTTAAGTACAAGAATGTTCAAAGCAATTTAAGGAGAAATTACTCTAATACCAGTGCTTCAACATAATAAAACACCTTTCAGCAATGATTTGTAATCAGCCTGAAAAGTACCCAATGACACAGATAACATAAAAGTAAAAATAAGACCAGATTACTGTTTATCTGATTTCCATTTTGAAAATTCAGTGACCAAAAATATTTTCTATCTACTACTAGAATGTCTCACTATACGAAACTTAAATACGACAAATAATTATGTCTGTTACTTATATATTTATTAACTTTAGTAAAGTCGGTCAAGTGAGAACTGCCAAGTGTTTTAAGAGAATACCATCTAGTCCAAAATTAGAGGCAAATTCTAGGAATTCTTTTATTAATTGTCAAGTTATGTAAGAAATTATCTACCGCCCTATACATACATATACAGAAGCCTTGTAAATCTCAGATCCCAGGGAGATTTTGACAACTGGTTTTTCTTTACAGGGACAACTTGCATAGGAACACATATGTATAGGATACTAGAAGTCAGAAAACCAGATGTATTCTTACAGTTGGCTAGCCAAATCTTAAAATTATTTTACCTCAAAGTTTTAAATACTACCCAGAGCAGAAGACTACTTCCTGCCCAAGTTCTCAAAAACTTTCAACCCTAAAAAGCTGCAAAAATTCTCCTAAGTCCTAGACTGTTCCTTCTATTCAATTGGAACCAAAGTAACTGTTTCAAACATCACTGTTTCAGAGTGAGCTTTACAAGCTCTCGATCAGGGCTGAAATGTACTGGAAAATAAAAGGAGCTCACTTTTTTTAAAAAGTAGGAAAAAAAACCCTGGATTTTATAAAGTGATAAAGTCTAAATTACCCTGATTATCTATGAAACTATTTTCTCTTAATAATGAGTGGACTCACTCTTCCTCATCAGCTCAATGGCTATCAGAAACTACAACAAAACACATTTGTCCTCTCTTGTCATCACGTGTATATACATTGTATATGTGTGTGTTCTGTTTACTGGAATCCTTGGCCACGGCTTTTAAATGTGTTTGAGAACAAATTGCTGATCCCTGGGTGGGCAGGGAAAGGGTCCAGGGCCGTGGTTTTGTATATTGCTGGGCACATTAATGGGACTCACCAAATACCATATTTATTTTACTTGTGGCTTTCAGGGTTAGGAAAGAGAGGTTAGGAGTTTTTCAAAAACAAAACATAAACTCCAAACAGGGAATTAGGGCAAAATTACCTAGATCATTCAGGCCAACTTACTTTCTTTTCCTGAATTTTTAACATTATAAAACTTCTCTCTTCATGGTGTATCTGTTTTGTCTGTTCCACCTCTTGTACAACTTGGGTTCTGAAATCTTTTAAACTGTCCCCTTATTTTTAAAATAACAAGTATCTTGCTAAAACTGATACTTTCTAGAGCCACATGCCATTCCCACTGGTTAAGAGGCAGTGATTGTTACTGGGATCATCTGATTCTATCATACTAGTACCCAAGCCTCACACATTAAGACGCCCACGATCAGGGCAGACAACATGCCAGTGCTGTCGGCAGTTAAGCTGTATGGGTCTAGCAGAAAAATGTGACTTTTCTCTACCTAATTTTGTCAAGTAGGTTATGGTTTGGGGTCACTCAAACAAAAAAAATCTTTGGTTTAACCTGATTAACTTTCCAAGTTCTCAATCAGGTGAAGAGAGAAAGACAGTCTCATGTAATATATTCTTACCCTTAGAAGTCAACAGATCGCCAATCTAAGAGACACAGAAAGGTTTCTGAAGCCATTATTATCTTGGTATGTTAGCTGAATTAGTTAAACACAGCAACTCCTTAAAAAAGCAAACTTATTTTTAAAATTTTATCTCAGTGGTAGGGAAAACAAATAGCAAAGCAGCAGGTAAGTTTCAAGAAAAAAGCGAAACATGCAATTCAAGGCTCCATCTCTTTGAAAAAGAAGGAATGTCAGTAGTACTCCACTTGTAGTTAAAAAACAACTAGCATGTAAGCAACGCTTTCCAAAATAACAGTTTAATAAAGGCAATTTCCTCAGGTGAGAAGGCAAATTTCTGGCTCACAGCAATTCACCTGGGGCTCACAGCAATTCACCTGGGTTGCACTACCTTACAACCATGTTAAGAGTAAAATCTTGTGTTTATTTTGCATTGTTTTGCATGGGCTTAGGGCTCCCCTCCGTCTTCCCCATTTAAACAGTTCCTATCTTACAAGTGCACAAAGTGCTGAGGGCTTGTATGTTTTAGTTAAATCCTCCGCAACCTTTGGTTTCACTATCAGAATTTTAGTTTACACACAACACAGTATCTCCATAATAATCTCAACATCCTAATCGCTTTAGAATCAGTTTACCTTTCGGTTAACCTCATACATCAGCATGCAATACCTGTAAAAACGCTTTTACCGAGACTGCATACTTCCTTGCATCTAAACATAAAGTTCCTTTTAGAATGTTTAAAGTCGGTTTCGTGGGCTTCTTAAAAAGTAGGCGGAAAGTATTGTTTACCGGGCTCCAGATAATGTACCTGCAGGAACTGAGCCATTTAACAGGATATTACAAATATCCCAAGTACAAAATTCTGAAATGTTTGTTCAGGAGTTCCCCCCACGTTTATCGAATTTTGTTTCCACCAAAGGAACGCTCTGCAGCCGTTAACATATTTACGGTTGTTACGGACGCACCACATGAAATTGACGCTCAGACGTCAAAGTCCTACTAAAATAGCCTGGATCGTCACTTGGTGAATTGCAAAGTTTGAAACTCTTGTATTCAACTTCTGCTCCCCACAACCGCAAAGCCCCTAAACTTACAAAACCTAATCATCCAGGTTCGGGGTCTTTGACTCATCAGAGAAGAATGCGGCTGAAGAGTTATCTATTAATCCAAAATGCCTCAGCTGAGAAGATATTTCACCAAGAACTTTCACATTGAAAGGGAGGGGGCAGGGAACCGAAGGTGTCTTTTAACGAGAAACTTTACCCGATTTTCTTCCTTAAGCCACACAAACACACTCCACAACTTGCAGCCCCAGACGCAGAGCTAAGTGCTGACCCTCCCGGTCCCAATCATCTGAGGTCACCCAGGAGTCAGCTCTCGATTCCGCTTTTAAAATCCGGGGCAAACAAAGCTGAGCATTATACTTACAAAGGTCTCAGCAAAGTCTTCAAAGTTACGCAATTTTAGGCACGCAGACGCTCGTGGACCCACAAAAACACACTCTCCGATGATACAGCCTCCCGGGGCCACAGTTTGGGGCGGTGTCTCGGGGCCAGGACGATTCCCAAACCCTCGACCGCGGCGCTCCCTCCCCGGCGCAGCCCGGCGCCCCGGGACCCGCGCCCCGCCGGCCGGCCGCCCGCACTTTGCAGAAAGCTAGCGGCCGCCGTCCCAGGTCGTACCCGCCACCGCACCGAGCCACTCCGTACCTCTTCCTCCTGAAGGTTGGCCTCGTTCGGGGTGTTCTCCTTCTCGGCTTTGCTGCCGTTGTTCATCTTCCCGGTCCTCCCTCGCCGGGCAGGGCTGGGGCGCGGGGCTGGGCGAGGGCGCGCTCGCCCACTTTTCCCTTCCCCGGGCGCTGCGGGGGCTGGAGCCGGGGCAGCGGCGGCTCGGCTCGGCTCGGGCTCCCGCGGCGCGGCGAGACAGCGGCGGCGGGCGACTCAGGAAGTGCGAGGGAGAGACGGGGCAGGGCGAGGCGCCGGCGGACCGAGAAGGGGACGGAGACAATCGGGACCCGAGAGGGAGACCTGGAGAGGGCGGGCGGGCGCGAGGGGAGGAAGGAAGAAAGGATGGGGCGAGGACGCGCGTCCCAGGAGTGAGCCCAGAGAGTTGGGGATGTGGCCGAGTAGGGGCCGGGGGCGGCCGCTGCCCGAGCGTAGCAGCTGCTGGAGGGAGGGGGCGAGGGGTACCCGAAGAGGAGCAGGAGGAGAAGGAGGTGCGGGGCAGCGGGGCGCGGCTGGGACCCGGAGAGCCGCTGAGTGCGCGCTCCTGGCTGGCTCTGGGAAGTACGGGCTCCAAGCAGCTCCCCTTCTCTCGCCTGCCTCCCTCTCTCCCTCCCTCCCCTCTCTCCTCCCTCCCCTCCTCCTCCTCTCTCCGCCCTCCCTGGACGTGGGCTGCTGGCTGGAGCCGGGAGGAACTGGACGCGGGACGGCAAGCCCCCCGCGGGAGGAGGGGCTGCGCCGAGGGCGGCTGCCCTGCGGCCGGATGGCGCGCGCCTGGGAGGGGTGGCGGGCGGCGGGCGGAAGCGGCGGACCCCAGCCCCCGACGCCGCGGTAGGTCGGAGGGCGAAGGCCGAGGAGGGGGGAGGGAAGAAGGTCAGGTCCTACCGCTTGCACGGTCCCTGGGGGTCGCCGGGCGTTTCGCGCAGCTCGGAGAGGGGCTTCGGGGAGGCAGGCCCTGCCCGCGCGAGGACCTGGAAGTGTGATGTGCTACTTTTGTTTGCTTGCTCTTCACGAGGGATTCGCACCCCAATCCCTACCCCTCCTTTTCAGTACCGGCCTAGACCTATTTCTTCCCTTCCTAGTCGGCAGCTTAAAATGACAGGACGCGAGAACTCGAGTGACATCCGGGGGCAGCCCGCTCCGGGCCGGCGTTTTCAGGGCGCAGCTTCAAACCCACCTCCGACGCCGGGCCCTCGGAAACCTCTCCAGCGTCTCCGAACCCGCCGCCCCTGTTCAGACTCCTCTACAGCCCTTTTCAGACTGTCCTAGAATTATTTGTTTACCTGGCTGCTTCTCTTTACTCTTTTGGGAGATCCTTTTTGGAAGACGAGACCGGGCCCTGTTTATCTTTTGAATCCCATGGCTATTTGAGTACGCTATCTGGTATACAGTAGGCGCTTAATAAATAGTTGTTGGCTGAGGGAATATTTCTCACTGCCAGACGAACTGGAGGCCAAGACAGATGATATTCAGAGGGTCAAAGCCGCTGAAAGAAGGGAGACTCAGCGTTCTGGGACGTCAGCGCACTATACTTGTTTACGCACCAACCTCGGAAGGAAGAACTGCCTGTTTCTGTTTCCTCCTCTGAAATGGAAGTAGTTCTATTTATCTACCAGGAGTTTGCTATTAGAGGAAATTATAGGTTGATAGATAAAACTATAGCACCTGGCACCCATTCGGACCCAGTTAAGTCTACCACACCTGGGAGCTGACATGATTAATTTCCACTTTCCCTGAGCCAAAGAGAACTTTTACAATATTGTATCATTTAAGCTTTCAAACTTAGTGACTGCTACAAACACATAATTTAAAACTCCAAACATCGGTAGATTTCTCCCTCACTTTTCACTCCCAGGAATTCTCTCTCACAGCACGCTGTTCCCTTCCAGCACGGCGACAATCACAACTTCTAATTATTATTTGTTTGCTTCACTGTTTGTCTCCGCCCCCAACTCCCCCGACCTCCTCCCCCACTAGACATTCTTTACCCCAGACTGGTTTAAGTGCTCCTGGGAATGGGATGGGGGTGGCGGCGGAGTTGAAGATAAGGCTTCTGCTTTTAGGGAATTGAAAGTGGTGCTGTGGAGACAAGATACCCCAAACAACTCCGCGGCAACGTCACCGCTGATCCTGGTTCAGATGGTAAAAAGCAAAGAAAATATTTGCTTTAAGAGCATTTTGAAGAGAAAAAAAAAAAAAAAACCACAGTACTGATACTTGGATTTACATATTGGCTTTTTCTGGTGTTGGGGGGCGTCTGGAGATTTTGATAAAGAGATTATATTGCTGTCATATTGTCATTTCTCTCTACGGGGGAAAACAAATGTCCCCCGGATGAAAATAAACCAAGAGTCTGTTGAAATTGCAACTGAAGTTCAGAAGAGGCAAGGGTACAGTTATTCTTCCTTCAGTTATATAAGGAACCACGAGGGGGCGATGTCTTTCTGAGCAACGGCCGAGTGGTGGTCTTGGGCCCCTGTGCTGACCAATAATGCCGGCACTTTGCCCTCCTTGGCCATTCTTGCCTGTTCCTGAATACACTCCACAGAAAGGCATTGTCTTCATGGAGCCTGGCCGAGGACCAAGAAAAATAACAATTGACCTAGTCCTTGATAGTCCCCGTCAGACTCCACTTACAAGTAGGTGGATGTTGGGTGGTCCTAGTGTGCTTGGAGAACCTCCCCTACCCCCATCCAAGGAAATGTGGCTTAATCTCAAGCAGAGAACCTGATTCCTTTGTCTTGAAGCCAAGTTGGCACCTTGTCCATTGTTAAAAGTCAAAACCCTCTGGAATAAAAAATGAGAATAAGTTCCATGAGAGGATCCTTGTCTGGCTTGTTTATTCTTGTGTTCCTAACACATAGTAGGCACTCAATAATTATTTTTGAATGAATGAACACATTTTCATCAGGTATTGATTCTGGGGCTTGAATGATATGAACAGATCCTTCCAAGACCTTGCAGAAGGGACTGAATTAGCCGAGGTGTCTCGGCATGGAGAGCACCACAAAGGCACTAGGCAGATTTCATGGAAGTGGACTTCAGTCGTTATTTTGCTGCGGGAGACCCTAGATAGAGAGCTTGTGCAGAATGGGACAACTGATGAGATTTCAAAAAGTAAAAAATAAAATCACACCACTCAGCACAGGGGCCCAAGACCACCACTCAGCCAATCAACTGACAGACACATCAGGCAATTTACAATAAAGCAGGGAAATCTATAACATATAGTCAATGGTGAGTGTGAAATTCAGCATATTTTCAGAAAACACCCTGGGGATGGGGTAATATACCAGGAAAAGAGGGACTCCTATTTTGCCCTTTCTACAAAGAATGGTTTAGATTTATTTGGAAGAACAATCGAGTTAAGTTGCCAGCAAAACTCAATGAAAATCTATAAATAGACTGGGTATTTATACAACTTTGTGAGTGAGGCAAAAGAGTTGGGGGAAGGGATGTACATTCATTCAGGATATAAATGATCTCTATGACCTGTTTACTACTTCAAAAAAAGAAAGTTTCAACATGAGATCTCCTCAGTAGCAATAGTTTCTAGACATACTAAGACAACAAAGGGATTTTATATCCTAGAAAAACGGGGCTAATGACCAAGAAACACCTGCTTTTCCCCCTGCCCACCACTTTGCTTCATTGCTTCTGGCCTGGAAGGTTGCTTGCTAGATTGATAGAGACATATTCTATGCACCTGTAGTTTTCATTCCTCATTTCTGTTTCTCTAGCAGTGTTCATTTTGAAGTTTGCTTTAAGAAATCCAAACCTATAATTATGTCTTAAATGTTCGTCTCTGGGAATTGCAGGCGTTAAAGGTCTATTCTGAGGCAATTTGCATGGCATGGGCTTTGTAACTGTTAGCACCGTGGCAGAAAGCTGCAGTATCTAGCACATGTGTTGTGATTTTCTGTTAACTCTTCTACATCCTCTGCTGGACCAAAAATGTTTTTGAAGCCAGAGGCTGTGTTTGATTAGTTTTTGTCATTCTTAACACATCTCTCTCCCTCACCCCTGCCCCCACCCACCTCCAGGCCATCACCACCTTCCCCTGATTTTATCTATTAATTTTTAATTGTGGCTAAGCACACACATAACATTGTATTTACCGTCTTAATCACTTTTAAGCGTATGGTTTAGTGGTGTGAAGTATATTCACATTGTTGTGCAACATCCTGATTTTTACCTCCTAAAATAGCTCTGAGATTCCATCACTTCCCTCCAACATTTATGGAAGCCCATGCAGCCATGTGGAGAGGCCCACTGGAAGAGAATTAGGTCCCCAGCTTACAGCGGAGCTCTCAGCAGACAGCTGTGGCCAATTGCCAGCCTTGTGAGTGAGTTATCTTAGAAGTGGATACTCCAGCCCTAGTTGATCTGCCCCAGCTGACACCACATGGAAGAGACATGAGCTGTCTTCACTGAGTCGCCCAAATTGCAAAATTGTTAGCAAAAAAAGTGAATGCTTTTGTTTTAAAACACTAAGGGGTTTTTTTGGGAGTATAATTGCTTTACAATGTTGTGTTAGTTTCTGCTGTACAGTGAACTGAATCAACGATATGTATACCTACATCCGCTCCCTCTTGGACCTTCCTCCCACGCCCCCACATCCCACCCATCTAGGCCATCACAGAGCACTGAGCTGAGCTTCCTGTGCTTTATACCATGTTCCCGCTAGCTATCTATTTTAGACATGGTAGTGTATATACATCAATCCTAATCTCCCAATTCTTCCTCCCTCCTTCCCCACCCTGTGTCCACATGTCCATTCTCTGTCTTCGTCTCTATGTCTATTCCTGCCCTGCAAATAGGTTCATTTTTCTAGATTCTACATATATGCATTAATATGTGAGATTTAAAACACTAAGTTTTAGGGTGGTTTGTCATACAGCAGTAGATAAACTGGAACGTAATTCGCATACCTAGAAATGGGATCCTGCCGTTACAAAAACGCAAAACATGTGGCAGTGGCTTTAGGATCAGGTGGAAGATGGAAGCTGGAAGAACTTTGAAGAGTCTGCTAGCAAAGAGCATTGGGGTTTTTTTCTTTCTTTCTTTCTTTCTTTCTTTCTTTCTTTCTTTCTTTCTTGGCTGCACTGACCAGGGATCAAACCCGTGCCCCCTGCAGTGGAAGTGCAAAGTCTTAACCACTGGACTGCCGGGGAGGTCCTGGAGAGCATTGTTAAAAGACAGTGAAAGTATTGTCACTGCAGGCAGGAGAAAAGGAGACCCCATTTATGTAACGGAAGAACAATTAGCCAAACTAGCCTGCTATTACATGAAAGAAGAGATACCTTATGAACATGTGGATCTAGCTAGATCTGGATGGAATGTCAAAAGGGTTGGATGGCTTCTTGTAGATGCTTAAGATTTAGCACAAGAGAAGTGAGGTGAGCTAAAGAAAAAAGGAACTGTTCCATTTTCAGTCAGAATCTGGAGGAAACCTAAAGAAGCCAGGACTTGCTGGATTTGAAATAAAACTTCTTCGTTCCTAGATTCTCCAGAAGACAAAACTCTCAAAATAAAAAATGGCCTATGGGCAAAGGTTAAACCAGGAAAACCTGGCCTTAGGTAAAGTTCAAGACAAGGATGTAGCTAGAAGACCCCATGGTAGGCAGCCTCTACGGTGGCCCCCCAGTGATCCCCAACCTCCTGGTGTTCAAGCACATGTGTAATCCCTTCCCTGTGAGTGTGGGCTGGACATAGTGACTTGCTTCTAATGAAAAGAGCATGGCAAAAGTGATAGATATCACTTCCAAGATCAGATTATAAAGAGACCACAGCTCCCATTTTACACACCCTCTCTTGCTCTCTCACTTGCCACCTTTGATGGAAGCCAGCTGCTATGATGTGAGCTTCCTGATAGAGAGGCACATGTGTCAAGGAATGGTGGAGGCCTCCATCCAAGGGCCAGCAAGGAACTGGGGCTTTCAGTCCAACAACCCACAAGGAGCTGAACCCTGCCAACAACTATGTGAGTAAGCCTGGAAGCAGATCTTCCCCTAAGTGCAGCCTTAGATGAAACCTGTTATGGACTGAATGTTTGTATCCTCCCCAAATTCATATTGTGAAGCCTTAATCCCCAACGTGATGGTATTAGGATGTACAACCTTTGAGAGGTAATTAGGTTTAGATGAGATCATGAGGGTGGAGCCTCCATGATGGGATTAGTGCCCTTGTAAGAAGAGACACTAGAGTTTCTTCTCTCTCTGCCATGTGAGGTTACAGATGGCCATCTGCAAGCCAGGAAGAGGGCCCTCACCAAACGCCAATGGCTGGCACCTTGATCTTGGACTTTCCAACCTCCAAAACTGTGAGAAAAAAAATGTCTATTGTTTAAGCCACCAATCTGTGATATCTTGTATGGTAAACTGACATAAATTAGGTTGACAAGATCATAGCCCTGGCTGACATCTTAGTTTATAACCTTTGAGAGACCTTGAGGCAGACGGACCCAGCTAAGCAGAGCCTGGATTCCTAACCAACAGAAACTGTGAGATAACAGTTTGTTGTTTTAAGCCATTAAGTGTTGGGGTAACTTGTTATGCAATAATAGATAAGTTAATATCTCAGAAAAATTTAAGGTAGTACCTCATAGATCCTTTCAACTAGGCAGCAAGGCTTCCGGGAATCTAAATGACATTGTCCTACAATAGTGTCAAAAGGTAGAGAAGGGACTGTCTTGGCAAGAAATATGAGTACAGCTTTTGCCTAAGGGAGATGATTATAACTTTAAGTATAAGAAACCTCTGGGGGCTTCCCTGGTGGCTCAGTGGTTGGGAGTCCGCCTGCTAGTGCAGGGGACACGGGTTCAAGCCCTGGCCTGGGAGGATCCCACATGCCGTGGAGCAAATGGGCCCGTGTGCCACAACTACTGAGCCTGTGCTCTGGAGCCCACGAGACACAGCTGCTGAGCCGACGTGCCACAACTACTGAAGCCCACGAGCCTGGAGCCCATGCTCCGCAACGAGAGAAGCCATCGCAATGAGAAGCCCGCACACTGTGGCTAGGAGTAGCCCCCGTTCGCCCGCACTAGAGAAAGCCCACACACAGCAACAAAGACCCAACACAGCCAAAAATAAATAAATTTTTAAAAAGAAGAAATAAAAAGAAACCTCTGGCTTTTTAAGGATCTCTACTAGCTTGCACTGAAATAGACAGAGACTATTCATAATG